TCACCCCAGTGGCCAGCAGTGCCCAGTTTGTCAGCTCTCAGGCCCGGAGGGCACTTCTGGGGATTGAGGGCCTGGGTTTCCTGTGCTGCTTTACCTGTGGCCTACAGGTGAGGGCTGTGGACCAACTGCACTGGTAGGACACAAAGGAGCCGGTGCTTTTCTTTCTTCAGTCTTTTATTTTTAAAGTCTTTCACCCCTGGATTGCACATGCCATATTCCTATTTAGAATTTTCAGAAGCTACAAAAAGCAGAAAGAATGACACCACCACCCAGAAGGAGAGTCCCCGAGGACGCCACATGCTTCCTTTGCCGGTGCCCTTGTTTGTGAATTCTGTAATAACTCCCAGGAAGCCACATCTGCCCAGATGAGCAGGGGTCTCCCTTCTGTGGCGGCTGTCCAAGAGCCCTAGGTGTCACTGAGAAGACACGGTCTTGGCAGAGGGTGCCTGGACTCCCCCTGTGGATCCTGCTCCCCTGTGGCTGGCTCTGTGTTGCTCTTGTCCTCAGGAGAAACAGGCTGGGCCCCCCTAAGGGTTGTCATGAGTCATTGACCTTTTACACGTATCCTGTTCTGAAATCAGGAGGGACATGCAGGCTTTTGCCAGCTCAGGCCCGTTGACTTGAATGGCTGAAGCACCCGGAGAGGCCTGGTCTGGGTGCAGAGCCAGGTGGCCTGGGGCTCCATCTGCTTAGCCCCCAAACCACTGAAACTCTCTGTCCCTCAGACCTACAATCTTTCTGCGCCCCCCCTCTTCTCCTCTGTAAAGTGGGGACAGCACACACACCTAAGGCTTCCTAGGGGACACTGGAAGGTTCACTGGAACCACAGAGTGACATGGCTGGCACCACATTCCTCGCCTCCATACCATCATGGCGAGTGAGACCTGTCATTTGGCTGGGCCGGGCAGCAGACAATTCTGGCTTCAGGGGGCTGGCCCTGGACACAGCAGGGCTGTGCTTGCCAAGCAGGCAGCACGGGCAAGAGAGGATGTGCTGGGAGAGGACTCCTGGGCACCCCAGCTGTGACGGCAGGGCGCCGGCTGGGCCAGGTCTCAGGCCTCCTGCCGCGCAGACCTGCCGTGACTAACACCGCCAGACTTCTTTTCCTTTTTTCTAACAACTATAAACACCTTCTCAGGAGCTCCGTCTGCGGGGATCAAACACCTGCGTGAAACTGAGAGAAATGTCTGTCCACACCCAAGGATTCTCGCCTGGAAGACGGCCCAGGAGGAAGCTGGGATGTCTCGTTCAGATTTTGGCACCCGCAGAGCCGGGGGAATGCTTTATTGCCCTGTGCTTTATCTCCAGGTTGGCGAGGGGAACTTCTGAGCACAACTACAGAGACAAGACGGAGAGGAGGGTCCCTCTTCCTCAGGCTGGATGTTGACCACTCAAGGCCAGGCCCTAGAGCTGGCTGCTGACCCCAGCCCAGTTAGGGGCCTTGGTGAGATGTCCTGAATTCCACGCTCAGCTTGGGGGTAGAGGCTCCAGGGTCAGGCACTGCCCCGCCCCACCCCAGGCCACTCAGTCAGAAGATAGGAAGCTGGAGGCTGGGACCCGCTGGCACCCAGAGCAGCCAGGAACCAGTAGTGGTGCACAGTGGCCACTTACTGGACCCCGAGTGGCTGTCCTGGGAATGGTGAGGTTGGACCTCAGCCTGGAGGAGTCCTTGCTGCCCCACCTGCCACAACCAGGTGGTCACATGGTCTCTAAATACACTCTGAACCAAAGTCAGGCCTTAGCTGGAGAAATCACCCTAACAGGCTCTGAGGGGTCCACCTTCCTCGAAGCCCCCGTGCAGAAGTGGAAGGGAAGTGGACTCTGCCTGCAGGTCCCCAGGGTGTCCTAGCAGTGAAAGCCTGGAGGGAGATCAGGAGGGAAGCCTGGGGGAGCCACGGGCCCTTCCTAGCCTTGGAAGCCCATCCGGCTCAGGCAGTCCCTCTCAGCTGGCCTTGCAGGAGCAGGGGAAGGCAGATGTTGCTCCCAGACCCAGCGCTGCCTGCTCCCGATGGTGCTAGTTGACAATAGCCTCCCTGGACTGCCAGATGGTCAGGGGACAGTTTAGGGGCCTGCCCTCACCAGACCCCAAACTTTCATTAAGTTGGGGGTGTTTGGCATCATACAGGAAAAACCCCACACGACTGACTCACAGCGCTTCAATCCCTGGAATAAAGTCAAATTCACATTCAGGCGAATGGGAGGCCTGAATAGGGTAGGAAAAACTTGATTCCGGGCTTACATTCAGTACAGTACAGTAGAGGTTCTGCAAGCCTCTTTGGATGTGTTAAAAATAGGTCGATTTTTAAAGGCACCTTCAGTGATGATCAGAGGATGAATCAGAAAACCAAGGCATGGAGCTTTGTTTTGGTTGAGGCTTAAAGACAGGAGGACGTGTTCGAATGAGAACTGTCCACCTCAGTCAAAGGGTTTTACAAGTTGCCTTTGTTGCCGAATTCTGAGGCAGGCAGAATTTTGGGTCAGAATCGCCTGCCTCTGGTCTGCATCGGGGCTGCTGCTGGCCAGCGCTCCTGGACCACTTGCTTTGTGATGCTGTGAGTTCGCTCACTGAGGCCTCTTCACTGGTTGAGTGCTAAGCCACATGGGGCAGATATAGCAGGGACAGGACTTGAAGCTCAAGCTTGGGGACCTCTAGGTTTGCCCCATGTGGAGCCTCAGAGGTTCCCGGGCACCAGGCTAAGCCTCCCTTCATTCCTTGATACTCAAAATGTGGCCCATGGAGCAGCCATATAGGTTACCTTAGAGATGTCAATTCTGAATCAGGGGGAAACAGAATCTTCATTCTACAAAGAGACCCAGGGAGAATTTGAAGGTTGCTGCTCTCTGGACATACCCAGCGAGTCCTCTGCTATTGAGCTGTATCACCTGCTGCATCCCCTGCCTCTCCCATAGCGTTTTCCTCCCAGTGGTGATTGCTGAGTCTGACTCTGGCTCTGACACTTACCAGTCCTATCATCTTACATGGCTACCTGTTAAAAGCCTCAGTTACTCAGCCCCTGGGGACCAAATTAATCCTGGCAAGGAGTGCTCTGCTGTCCACCCAAGGGTCCCTACATCCTCCTTCCCCTCAGGTGCTCTTGGCCAGCATCTCTGGGTGGGGCACCTCCTGCCACTTTGCTTACAGAGTTCTAGCAAGAGAAAAGAGCATGCCCAGTGGGTCTTAGCCCCGGCTGCACAATGGGAGCAGGTGAGAGCTTTGAAAGCTATGGATGCTGGGCACCATGCCCTGGAACTTCATTTGGTTGGTCTGGGGTCTGACTGAGGCTTTGGGAGCCTCCAAAGGTCCCCAGGTGGTTATAAACACAGTCAGGGTTGCAAGACATCTCTCTGTCTGAAGATGACGGCACAAGCTCTAGGAAAGTCCCCACTGGTTTACACACAGAGCAGTCCTTCTCTACCCCCTGCTCCAGAGGGGGCCCGTGAGGAATGTGAGCGTATTTAGAGAGTAACCGCCTCTGCTTTCAGAAGCAATGAACCTCGAAAGAACCTGAAACCGACAATTGCATCCTTGATTAATGAGAATATTTTTTGTTCTTCTTTATGAAAACAGATCAAAGCAGCTTAGCCTCAGGAATTCAAAGAGCACTTTCAGGGTCTGTCCTGGGGCACAGCATGTCCACCTCTCACCTCTTATATCCCCACAGGCACCCTGGGGCCACAGAGCAAGAATCCACAGGTGCCTTATCTTCCACGAAAGCCAAGAGCCACGCACACTCCAGTTACCGGTTAATCACATGTAACAGAACCCTGGGTCCTGAGCAGCATTCTCAGCATCAAGGACTGAGACCAAAACAGTCCCTGATCCACCCAATACCTGAGTCCCAGAGCCCCTTCCCATCCCAAACCCCAGTTCATGTATTTTAGTCCATAATGCATTTCAGGCCCAACAGGATTCTGGTTTTAGGATTCTGCAAAGCAAACCGAGTGGGCCTCTGCAGGCCTTGTTGCCCTGGGAATTACTACTGGCTCTGGATAGTGGCTGGACCTAGACTCCTGGCTCCCTGGGTCCAGATGGCCAGACCTGGCAGGTGCTACCTGGGCCTCAGTGACAGGAGGACAGGGGTTGAGGGCTTGGGGAGGCTTAGACTCATGCCTGCCTTGTTGAGAAGCCACTGTGCTGGGACCGGTGATTCTTCCCTGGGGGAAGGCAGCACCCAGCTCTGCACCCTCACCCGGTTTCTCAGGCTGAGATTCACTGCACACGGTGAGATTCCCACTGGAAATCTGTTTTGCCCAGGGGCAGGAAAAGGGCTAAGCAAAGGGCCCTTTGCTAGCACTCAATCCATCCGGAAACCATCCCTGCCTCAACCTCTGGGCAAGCTCCTATTCAGCCTCCTCACTAAAGCCTCTACCCCACGCATGATCAGGCGCACATCCCCTGGCAGCTCCTGCACACCACACATCATTAATACAGCACTTTCCACGCTGGGCCTCAGTACTCATAGCAGTTCCTTGCACAGGACAACCCCCAGACCCAGGGCCCCTCCTGCAGTCAGCCCACCCCAGGTAGCCTACCATGCAACCCAACAGTAGCACTCGGGGAGGGAGAGCAACCACTGTCTTGGTAAGTGAGTGGTCATAGGAGGTGTGGGCAGCTGGGACAGATGGCAGGGGAGGGGGCTTCAGAGGGCAGGTAAGCTCCAGGCACCCACTTAGCAGTCCAGGCATGACAGCGAGGCTCTGCCAGTCGGGGGAAGGGTACAGATACCCTAACATGGGCTCAGATTCTCATGGACACAGCTTGATTCCTCCACAATGTTCAGGATTAATGGCTGATTGACACAGCCCCATGCAACCAGAGAAATAAGATCTGCCTTTGTCAAATAGGAAGATTACAGATGTGCAAGTGGCGGGTCTATTAAGATGGGAGGTCCAACACGTGATGGGGGAGAGGAGATAGAAACAGAGAAACAGAGGGACACGTGGAGACAAAGAATGACATCCTCTCTTTTCTGGGGACTTCTGTGGGGGCAGCCACTCACCAGTTCCTTCCTGAGCCAGGTTATAGCCTCATCGATACTCTGGAAGCCTTCCAGCTTGCCAGGGGACCTGTCGCCCTGGCTGGTGCTCCCGGCAGGCAGGGGGTGCTCTCTGGGCTCCCTCGGGGGCAGCAGGGGCTCCCCACCCCCACGCTCTCCTTGCTCCAAGCTCTCCTCTGTGGCCATCTTCTGGAAGGGCCACGTCTGCTCCTCCAGCCTGGCCTGCCATTCCAGGTAGGAGGGCCTGCGGGTCTCCAGCCTCAGCTTCTCGGTGAGGGCCTTCAGGCTCCGGAGGTGGTCATCAGGAGGCGCGGCGGCCCCTGCCAGCCCCTCTTCTTCACCCACTTCCTCCACTTGGATCTCGGGCACAGACATTCTACAGTCTGCCCTGGCAGCCAGACCTGGCAGCTGGTGAGGGGCTGTGTGGGAGGCTTGCTGGGCGATGAGGCTGGGTCCTGCTCTGGAAGGGCCTCATCCAGCTGGGGCTGTGCCTCGAGAAGGCATTGCAGAGGCTGGGCGGCACCTGGAGCTGAGGGACCGTGGGGTGAGCCCCAGGGAGGGCCTTTCAGAGCAGCCGCGGGGGTTCGAGGTCTATGATTCGTCCCAGAAGCCTGTGGGTGCCATGCTTCGTAGAAGGCAGGAACAGACAAGCACTGGCAGGATTCTTTAGGGGCAGCCTTTGCCAAGGAGATCTATCTGTCCCGAAGGTGTGCGCAGAGCAGATGGGCCAGAAGCTCGCCCTCCCCAGGAAAGGCAGGTGGTGCGGGCCCTGCAGGAAGAATGAGAACATTGTCAGTCTGACCCCTCCCCAGCTGCTAGGTGGAGGCACGTCCACACTCCAGGAGGGGAAAGAGGCTCAGAGAGGTCCAGTGACAGGGCTTCTACTTGCTGGTCCAGGACTAGAGGTGAGACGACCACTTTAAGTTGATGCAGAGAAGCTGAACAAATTGGGCAGCACTACAATCCCTCCTGTGTTATCTCACTTAATGCTCACAGCAAGTCTGTGGAGATTAGTTTCTGTCCCCATTTGACATGGGAGGACCCCAAATCCCTAAGAGGCTAAACGACGCACTGAGACAGAACTCCCGCAGGGAGACAAGACCAGTCACTTGAATCTGAGGGCACAGGTCTCCCCTCTCAGTGACAGCTGCCTGAGGGTCCCCAGAGCCAGCTGCCAGGCCAGTGGAGCCCCACGCAGACTCAGGTGTGCCTGCACCGTACAGGTGCTGCTGCCCTCGGCACCCCTCCCTGAGCACAGGGCCGGCTTCCTCCACCCTCAGCTTCCTCTACCACCACCTGACCTCACCCGCTCAGAGAGGAAGCAAATAAGCCTGCAGCTGCACAGGGGAAGAAGGAGCCGGCTCCACTCAAGCTGGACGGTGAAGCTGAATGAAGCTGGTGACTCAGCCTTCCAGGACGGTGGCTCTCAGGTTTACCTAAAGTGCCCACACAGCAGCGCTGCCTCCGCAAGGCTCCAGCTGCCATCTGAGTTGGCCTCCAGGACCTAGTGTGGGATATAAGCCAAGGCTCTGACCCCATCGTGCCAGGGTGGGTAGGTTATAATTAGACACCAGCCTTCTGGTGTGCCTGTGTCTGTGGGGAATGAGCAAGGGTAGACACGGGCCGATCCGAGCGGGAGATGTGTGTCTTGAACTTGGCTTTCAGGGCTAGTTTTCAAAATCTGTGCTGAGGCCATGCAGGTGTAAAAACTAATGAACTGATGCAGAGCAATGTCCAAGATAAGGCTAAAAGAAAAATCAAGATGCCCAGAAGCCTGGTGCACACACCACCCTAGGGTGAAAATGGATGGAAAGGGAGAGAGACGCTTGTTGATGTGTGTGCCTTTAAAATCCCTACCGAAAGAAGAAAGCAAATAATCGTCGTGATGCCTGCTTGGAGTGTGGGAACTGGGCTGGCTGAGATGAGGACTGAGGGGAGCAGATCTGGGATGGGGAGGCCACTGGCAGGCTGGGCTGCCCAGGGAGGTCATGGATTTCCTCCTGACACACAGAAATGCTCGGGAAGACAGACAGCAGAGCTTCTGTTCTGGACCACCCTAGAGCCCAGCCTGCCAGGGAGGTCTGGCTGGAGGACAGAGGACTCTCCCCGTACTCTGAGCCTGCCCCTGCGGGAGTGGGGGGCATCCCTGGGGAATGAGGAAGACATGCCACCCTCACTGAGAGCAGAGGAACTCAGCTTCACCTCCTGCCCTGCTCTGGGCAAGTGAAAGTCCCCTGGGGACCTTGGGCAACACAGATCGACTTCCAGGAGTTCTGATTCCCTTGATGTGGGCCCAGGACTCAGAGAGCAGCCCATTCTTAGGCCCCAGGTGATCTGAGGGCCAGATACAAGGGTGCAGTCAGGACTGAGAGCTGCTGGTCTCCTTTAGAGACACCAGACCTGGGATCAGATTCTGGTCCTAGGCCCCATGGGGCCTGCCAAGCCTCAGTCTCCTATGCTCAAAATGAGGTGTTCTGCCAATCTCCTAGGCTCTTGGGGATGGGCAGGATGAGGTTCATAGGTGCTCTCTAAATCTTAGCGTGCTCCAAGAACACAGGAATGGGGCTCGCTGTGCACTTTCTCATGACACAGCCTTCCCAGGCTCTCTCCAAGTCTGAAGACTGGGAGCTGCTTTCTGGGGCCCCACCCAGGTGCCTGCCCTCTGCCTGTTTGCTGAGGGCCCAGAATCTCTTCTGAGTGCGCCTGGGTGGCTGAATCCTACAGGGCTTCCTTCCCACAGACAGAGGAGCTCTTTATAGCTAGATGAGTTTTCTGGAGAAGGTCCAGTCTACAGACAGACTGATGAGCTGTGCCCTCCCCACCTGGGTCCTGGTTGTGCCCACTCCTCAGAAGAGGACTCAGAGGCAAGGGATGATCATGAAGCCACATGCCCATAGCACAGAACTGGGGAGAGACAACACAGTAGGAAGCTGTGCCCTCCCTCTGCAGAGGGCTTCGTCCTGCCCCCTTAAGTAAGGGGCTCCTCTTGGGGTGGGAACCACTGAGAGTCTGTAACTTTGTGTGACTTTATAGTGTAGGGAGTGTATTTTAACAAGAGGTTTTCAGTCCACTGAGGGTGAGCCTCATGGTGTGGCACCTGGGTGCCCCCCAGCTCACGCCAGTCTCACCCAAACCCAAAAGGCAGGTGGGAGCACCCATTTCACACAGGGGTTATGGGAGGCACTTAGGAGAGGTGAAGTGCCCTCCTCCAGACAGGTGCCAGCTAGGGGCCTGGGCATGAGCTGTGTGATGGTGGTCAGCCTCTTTCTATCCTGGAGCATGTGGGATTTGGGGTCAGAGCTCAAGGGCAGCCACCAGTTCTGTGTTATGGGCTGTAGCTTCATGATCATCCCTTGCCTCTGAGTCCTCTTCTGAGGAGTGGGCACAACCAGGACCAGCTGCACAATTTGTAGGGCTCAGGGCTGGGTCTCTTCTTTAAAAAAAGTCCTAAGAATTTCAGGATGGTGACAACAGAACATTAACTCAAGTGGGGTCCCTGTGTGCCCCCTGGGTCCCATGCCCATGAAGGGGATAACAATATCAACTTTGTAGGTCATATCCAGGATTTCATGGGGTGACAGAGTTGATAGAGCATGCCCCTGGTGTACAGTAAGCCCTAGACAAAGTTACACTTTAAAAAATATTATTAGGATGGTGCAACCATGGGTGTCACATCAGTCACATCACCCCTGTCCCTGCCTTGAGCAGTCATCTGGTCGGTCCTTGAAATGCTGGGTGTCCTGAGCCCATTTTTGCATCTTTACATCCTTCCCTGGAAGCCCACTGATGCCATCCATTGGCCCTGCCTCCCCCAGTTTTGATCTCAGGAGATCTGGAAGAGTGAAGAGCAGGTTTGCCTTGGAAGGGAGAAAAAGAGCCCAGCCTACGAGAACACCACTCTGCACTGCTCCCTCCCGCCCTGCTCCAATTTTTAACCCTCCCATCCCCAGCTCCAGGTGCTGGAGGGACCCAGGTGTAACAGCCTGCTCTCCACGCCAGAGACTGAGGCTGGGCTGCAGGCCTGGTCCTGGTTCCAGCACAACTGCTAACAGGAGGAGGACCCGGGTCCAATCTTTCCTAGCCTGTGCTCTGCAGTTGGTGGTGCCTTGTGTGCGTGCAAAGACTGGGCACAGAAGAAACGCCACACCCACCCAAAGAGCTCCTTCTCAGCACAGGCTATTTCAGAGCCACTAGGCAGTGTCCCAGGGATCCCACCTGCTCGTCACCCTGGTGCCTGAAAAGGCCCAGTGGGGATTCCTCCCTCCCTTCCAGCTGGGCACAGGAGCTAAGCTGGAATGTCACCCACACAGGCCCAGGAAGGTGCTAGCAGAAGGGTTTGTTGTCCACTGACCACTTAGTGGGCACTGAGCTGGACATATCCTGTACTAGTGGGGAAGGCCATCGGGTGGGGATTGGAGGCAGCTCTGGACACCTCTTGGGTTTGGTGGGCAGCAGAAGTCTTTCTCGACTCCTGGGGCTTAGGCCCAGGGAGCACAAAGCAGAGGACACTGGACCACTAGATCTGGGACTCGGGAGTCCTGGAAGACAAGATGAGATCCCAAGACCCCATAATCCATGAGGCCCAGGCATGCCCACCAGCCAGGCCACTGGGTGGCAGCGAGGACAAGCCTTGGGGATACACAGCCTTCCTGCCCCAGCAACATGCCAGGGCTTGGGATGACTGTGGTTCAGATGCGCTTCCAGGCTTCCTGGCCCATGAAGCAGGATTCGCCAGCCATGAGCTAATCCCCAGCTGCCCCAGGAGCCAGGTGGGTGCAGCCCTGCCAGGCGGCCAACACCTTGTCTCATTATGACCTCACCTGCTGACCTGGAAAACCCTGGAACCCACTTCCTGATGGGCTTCCTGGGCAGGGAAGGCTACGGGGGCTGCTGACTGATGCTCCCCGGGCTCAGGCCTGCTCTCCCCACACAGAGGCTTCTCTGGAACTGTTTGTTTCTTCTGCAGGGTGCACAGTCTTTTTAACCCCTCCGACTCTCCTGCCCCACAGACCCCAAGCTCGATCCTCTGCCTGCAACTTGTACAGCCCAGAAGCCCTTCTTTCCCTCCTCCGCCTAGTCCTCAGGCATTTTCTCCTTCCCTCTGTTTTCCTGGGCTGGCTGTGTGTGCCCGGCAACGAGAGCACGTGAGGGAAACCGTGACACCATCACACATGAGCTAACACTTGGAGCAACCACACCAGCAGTCACTCGGAAAGCTTCACATGTTCAGGCACAGTTAGGGCTCACACGCGTGAAGATTGCCATCATCCTCATGTTCCAGGTGGAGAGACTGAGGCGCAGATGGCTTTGGCAGCTTGCCCATGGTCACAGAGCTAGTAAGTGGTGAGGCTGGGATGTGAGACCCCGACACTGGGCTTCCCGTCCCTGTTAAACCCTCACATTTACACCAGGCACTTTCTTGATGGTCCCTTCTTCCAGACTCAAGTTCATGAGGGCAAAGCCAGGCCTTTTATCCTGGTCTTCTGGCACTTGTGAGATGCTGCTGCTTTAAACATGGAATGATCGGGCACATAGAGCATGCATCTGCCTCTTGCTGCACCCTGTGTTGCTCACAGTAAGCCAGCTTGGATGGGCTCAGAGGAGCAGAGGGGCCCTGGGCTTCTGTGACAGTACTTCCACCACCTGTCCTCATGAGAGGCCACACACACCTCCCTTCCCTGGCCGAGGAGTGCCTGGACACAGGTGTGCCTGGACACAGGTATGCAGGCCCGGCTCCTGGGACAAAGCAGGAAGAACCTGATTTAGCTT